TATTTTTAATAATTTTACTAGCATCTAAACTTATCTAACAACATACAAGTAAAAATAAATTTATTTCTAAGAATTTACAGCATTTAAAATTTCTAACATAGATAAAATATCACAATTTTATTAAAAATATTATTTTTCAAAAAAATGAAATGGTTTGCGCATAAAATTTATCGCGCCTAAAATTCATGATAATAAGCAGAAGTAATTATTTCATTTCATTTTAAAAAAAAACATATTATTTTTCGAGATAATGAAGTCACTTACCTAAAATATTTGAGAGGGAGCTTCCGATAAAAATTCGGCTAGAGAGAGAAAAAGCTCACTGCGTTTCGACTAGAGAGAAATATCTCAAAATTTTTCTAGGGTGGAAGTCCTCGCCTCTCCTATTTAAATTCTTAAGACACTTTATTATATTATCTTATTAAGTTATACCTCATATATGAGGTGTAACAATTACATTACACCTGAACGTTTAAAGCCCACGTCCACTAAAAGACGTGGCAAGGCAGCAAAAACTTAAACCAAAAGCTTTTGAAAGGAGTGATGGTCCCTAAGGACCATCGTGCTTGTATGGCCCATCACTTATTAAAAGTTTTTATTTATTTATTTTTAAATTTTAGGATTGTTACATTCTTTCCCCTTGAAGAAATTTAGTCCTCTAAATTTGTGTACCTGCTTACTGAAAAATTTCTTAAGAATCTTAAACCTATTGCTCTGATACCATATTTGTTACGCCCCAAGAATTTACAACACTGATATTCCTGAGATGTGACAGTCAAAACATATATACATCTTTTGATAAGACAAATTTACAGTGGCGAATTCTTATAATGTAACAAAAGAAAGTTTAAGCAAAACTACAATATCTTCCCAAAGTTGATATTGACGAGCGCTCAAAATGAAACTGCAGTTATCCTGAAAAATGTTTACCATAATTTGGTGAGTTTGACTACTCAGTAAGTGATCATCATAATCCTAAAAATAATCATGGTTGAAAGATATCAATATTTTAAAAAAATGAGATCTATTAACAAAATTGCATTAACAATT